CCAGCTGCAGACTGATCTGTTAGCTGTTGCTCTTTTACAGCGAATATCTGAGTTCCATAGCCTTGGAGAGGCATTCCAAGGTCTGGCAGTGCCTTCGAAATAGCAAGCTGCCCCATGCAGCTCAGTGGACTCCCTACTCCATCTCTTCGAGGCCTTCCTTAGGCTGCCCTGCCCTTGCCTCTGAGAGGCTTCGATCACCTCACCACACCTAGCACCCTGGGGCCCTGTAGGACTGGTGATCACCAGGTTGGTGACATGGTAATCCCTCCACAGAAGCTGGGTGCAGATTGACACACAATGCAGAATCTGACACTTCTGTAAGTTGACAGGAGTGTCTGTGGCCCCGTCCCTTTCCCACAGGCTAATGCATTTCCAGGGATCTATGGATTGGTACAGGTGTCTGTTGAACGGCAGCTCTCCACACCCCACGGCTGTGGTGGTGCATTGTTTTATCTGATTTAATTTAGTGCGTTTGTTGGCGACTGCAGGGGATGACTGTATCACTGGCGGATGCTTTGGCTCCTGAGAACACTGTTTTGGCCTTGCCTGTCTGTTGCAATCCATGTGTAGGAAGACAAGCGTGCTCTCCTTGTGCCCAGATAGTAGCACAGAATCACACTCATCTGAGACTCATTCTCCAGCGTGAGATTTTCCACTCACGTCCTCCGAACCTGTGGAAGTTCTGTGTTTCTGGGAATCTGCTCACTTTGGAGATTTCTTTTCCCACGATTTTTAAATATAGAAACCCCGTATAAAGCCTTATCTAGACAATGCCACTTCTTGGTTTTGATTCTTTTGCTGGAGTGCTGTGGATTGAACCCAGGCCTCACACACAGCGCATGGATGGTCTATCCTCTGAGTACTGTCCCAGGCCTGTTTGTCGGGAGTTTTTAAAATTGTTGCTAGTGTTAACTTGCAGCTCCTTTGGATTTATATTATTTTCTCTTACAAAAAAAGAATAAGGAAAGGAAGGGAATAAGACAGGACTGTCTGTTTTTCTGTCTGAGTTTTAAACTAGCCTTGGTGGAATGTGCCTGTAACCCTAGCACTCAGGAGGCAAAAGCAGATAGATCATTTGCAAGATCAAAGCCAGCCTGGGCTACATAGCAAAAACCTTTTATTTAAAAAAAAAAAAAACAAAAAAAACAGGTTTTGTTGAACTTTCTTGGTAAGCCACCTATAAAGTTAATATACTATATATATATATATATAT